GGATTAAAACTGTAGTCTTGGGATCACTTTAGGGCTACTAACCTATGGGTACCTTCCCCTAGTGCGCACTATAGTATAGGGAGCTCTCTATCTCCCATACTAGAACCAAGTCCTAGCCATGTTAATTCTTGATTGATATCCCAAGTCCCAAAATCAACAAGTTATGCAACCAAGAATATATATCAAGATACAAGTAATGCATTAAATCACATTTCATGCACAACCAAGATTTTGGAACACACAAGTCATGCCCTAAGTTCTCAACTATGATGGCATGTGAAATGTCAAGAAATCATAGATTGCATCTAAATAGACTACAAAATTAGGATTTAAAACACGAGGAATCTATGGATGTAATTATACTACTAGTACAAGATTAATGATTTAATTATTTGTTTAACAACACTTGAACAATTAAATCATTCCGATGTAAGGGTGCAAGTTCATTAACTACATTAATGAAGCTAAGTTGCAACAAGTCACGATACATGATAAAAAGGAAAAAGCCCCATGAAATACAAGGCTAACTCATTAGAAACCTAAGTAGAAATCGATTAACCTAATTAATTAATTTCTCTAGAAATCAAAGTTGTCCAAAAATTCTCAAAATAATATATGCGAATGTCCATTTCATGGTGATTGCAAATATCACATCAATTTTACAAAGTGAGCAAGATATAATCATGTGGAATTTAATTACCATAAAAATAATTAAATTACTAATTTTCAATAGTTACCCAAAAATTCTTAAAATAATATATATGAATATCCATTCCATGGTGATTGCATATATTAAATCAAAAGTATAAAATGAGTAAGATATGAACATGTGTAATTTAATTAATTTAAAATTAATTAAATCTCTCGATTTCAAAGGTTATTCAAACGATCTCAAATTAATATATATCATGGATTAAGTCATAGCCATGCCATATATCAAGTCAAAATTGGAAAACAAGAAAGGTACAATTAAGTAGAATTTAAATAAATTTTAAATAAATTTCTAAATCTTGAACAAAAGCAAGCATACAAGTTGTATAAGCATCAATAGCATGCAATACATCAAGAATATAATTTATAACACCCCCTACCTCAATTTGAGATGAAAATCTCAAATCCCCACCGAAAGAAAAGTGCTCCGAATCCGACGATACTTCGGGGTTTTGTCGGAGACAACACGGTGAACAAGAATTGCAAGGAAGCCCCATGAAAATCACAACTTGACTTCAAACCCAAACTCAAAAAATGGTCAAAAATGGGTTCTAATAAGGGGGAAAAGTAGAGCACGACGAGGCCTACGATAAATGTTAAGGGTGAAGACTTTCTACCAAGGAAATCAAGTGGAGGAGAAGAAAGAGTGAAGGCAGCCCATTGGGCTCCCATGGCTGTCGGCCAAGAGGGGGAAGAAGATGATGGAAAAGTGACTTTTCACTTTACGACATTCTATTTATAGGAAAACCCTAAAAGTGCCCTAAAAGGTTCCAACCAAGTCCGGAAAAGTGGAATTTGAGCAGATGCGCTCAAACGGAAAAACTCCTTAAACAAAAAAGATTCAAAATGAGAAAATATGAACAACGGAAGAAATGACATTAAAAACTGAGTCCCGAGCAGAGAGAAATGCCCCGAATAAGTTCGGCGGCAACAAGGGCCAAAAACCCTGAAATTGGAGAAAAATGATTAGAAGGAAATTCTAAGAGTACATGACTCAACAAAATGTGAAATTGAATCCCGTATGAGGATCCAGGCTCAAAACGAGGTATTTTTGTATTAACTTTCGTTAATTGCACAATGGCCCCTCTAAAAAGGGTTAACTGCACTAATGACCCAAAACGAAAATATCTTTCAAAAATATTTTCTTAAAAACCCCTGAAATAAAATATCTTCAAAATATATTTATGAAAAACACCCCAAGAAAAGAAAAGTTTCTGAAGAATTGTGCATCCATGCCCCTATGGACACCGGGAGCAACCAGAGTACTTTCCTGCAAAAGTAAAGATACGTATTTCGTGGAAACCACATAGGATGAAGGCAAGTGAACAAAAGCCAAATTTGAGCATGAAAACTGAGGTTGTGCAAAAAAGTGACAAACGGGGAAAAGACAAAATAGGGAAAAGGATGAAAAGTGAATAGTGTCAAAAAAATGAAAATATGGAAATGACTCGGTCTTTAAAGGAAGTTGTCAATCCAAATGAAAGAGTCTCAAAAACCATTTTCGAGCACTCAAGATGACACTATGAGATGAGAAACAGAACTCGGAAAAGAAAATTAAACGAAAAAAATTTATCTGTAAAATTTCAGAAAAAGGAAAGGAAGGTAAATGACTGGTCATTACACATACGATGAAATGCCTGGGCTGGACCCTCAGTTTGTGGTCCACCACCTCAACATACGGCCAGGAGTAAGACTGGTCAAGCAAACACAGAGAAATTTCCACCCAGAACAGGAACTACAGATCAAGGAAGAGGTCTAGCGACTCTTGCAAGCGGTTTCATCAAACCCATTCAGCACCCTACCTGGTTGGCAAATATTATCCCTGTAAAGAAGAAGCATGGAAAGATCCGGGTCTGCGTCGACTTTAGGGATCTGAACAGGCGTGCTCCAAGGATGACTTCCTATTACCTATAATCGACAATCTGGTTGACTCGACTTCTGGACACAAAATGTTCTCATTCATGGATGGATATAGTGGATATAATCAAATCAAAGTGAGGCCGTGTGATACAGAAAAGACAGACTTTCGAACCTCATTGGGAAATTTTCATTATACCATTATGCCATTTGGCTTGAAGAATGCTGGAGCCACTTACCAACGTGCCATGACGGCCATTTTCCACGACATGTTGTATAAGAATATGGAAGACTATGTGGACGACCTGGTTGTAAAATCCCAAAGAAAGAAGGAACATCTGGCACACCTGAGGAGAGTTTTCGAACGCTGCCGTAAGTACAAACTGAAGATGAATCCCTTGAAATGCGTTTTCGGAGTAGAGGCCGGCCGGTTCCTGGGTTTTGTTGTACACCAACAGGGCATCAATGTTGACCTCAATAAGGTACGGGTAATCAAGGAAATGCCCCTACCTCACACTCTCAAATAGCTGAAAAGCTTGATAAGCCGTATTTCCTATCTCTGGCATTTCATCCTAACCCTGGCCGAGGTAACGCACGCCTTCAGCTCATTGCGGAAAGGAAGTCCTGAGTTCAGATGGATCGAAGAGCATCAATAAGCTTTTATTAGAGTCAAAAGTCTGTTATCTTCACTATTCACCATGATTGCCCCTCAGCAGGGTACCCCACTTAGGCTGTACATCACCTCCACTGAACGTTCCATCAGGGCGTTGCTCGCCCAAGAACAGGGAGGGCGTGAATACCCTGTTTACTATATCAGCCAAGTTATTCAATGCGTGGAAGCACGTTACTCGCCGATCAAGTATCACTGTTTGTCTCTGGCCTTCGCGGCGAAGAAGTTTCGTCATTACTTTCTTGCTCATACCATCCATCTTATTACGAGGTACGACCCATTGAAGTACCTACTCTCGCGGCCCGTTATGTCGGGGGGAGTGGCACGATGGCTACTGACTTTTGCAGAGTTTGACATACAATGCTCTTCGCCCCGTGCTATACTAAGCCAAGCTTTAGCAGACTTGATGGCCCAGTTATAATCGGGAGAATACGAGCCCGTGAAAGCTGACCTTCCCTATGAAGACCTTGAATCGGCATATTGCGCCACTAAGGATACAACCTGAACATTATCATTCGACGGATCATTGACGGTGCAAGGAGGAGGCGCTGGAATAGTGATAACCCCAGAGAGGAGAGAAGCTCAGAATTTCTCATACAAGTTAACCTTTGGGTGTTCTAACAATACGGTGGAGTACGAAGCCTTAGTCCTGGGGTTGATGGCAGCCCGAGAAGTAAGGGTCAAACGTCTACGCGTGCAGAGAGATTCCAACTTGGTGATAAAATAGTTGGATGGTTCGTACGCTATTAAGGAGCCATCATTAGAAGCTTACAGGACCATCATACAGAAACTTAGCAGCCACTTTGATGAGGTACGCGTGACTCACGTGCCCCGCACAGCCAACCGATATCCAGATGCCTTGGCCACTCTAGCTTCTAAGGTTGAGATAGCGGGGGAATCAGTAGACATAAGAATTTAGGAGAAGGAAACATCTTGCGTGTACAATGATGAGTTCATCGATGACAAGAAAAACGAAGACTAGAGAAATGCTTTTGAATCGCACTTAAAGGATGGCGAGGAAAAAATCCCATTGTCCGAGTTAAAGGACTATATACTCTACCTTAGAGCCTTGTACTATAGAGCACTTAGGGGCATTCTGGAAAGGTGTGTTAGAACCAAAGAGGCTAGGAGCATTCTGTGAAACATTCATGAGCAAACTTGTGGCAACGATTCGTTAAGTTTATACCGGAGGATACAAAGACAGGGGTATTTCTGGCTGTCCATGGCAAGGGAGGCGAGCGCCATTCAGAAGGAATGCCGGAGATGTAGAGAAGCTCTCGAAGGACCACAAAATGTCACCTACGTCAGTGAGGACTGGAGACAAAAGTATCTGAATTATCTCGAGTGACACCTGCTCCTACAAGATCGCGAGGAAGCTGCCATATTAAAAAAGGATGCGCGTTGTTTCTTTATTAGCAATGGAGAATTGATGAGACGACACTTTGACGGGAAGGCCAAACGCTGCATAAGTACCTTTAAAATATAAGAAGTACTTAAGCAAACTCATGAAGATGAACACCAGGGATGGAGAAAGTTGTACAACTGGATTATCCAGATAGGCTATTATTAGCCTACCATGCAAGAGGATAGTAGGAAGCATGTGCAGAGGTGCTGGGAATGTCAAGTTCACAATCATGTAATCCATGCACCCGTAGTCGAGTTACACCCTTTGAGTCCTCCCTGGCCATTCCACACCTGGACGATGGACCTAATAGGCCCAATTTCCCCGAACTTAAGGAAAAAGAGATGGATTTTAGTGGCAATGGGGATCTGTACTAAATGGGTAGAAGCGGTGGCTCTCTCGATGGCAATAGGACAGGTCGTAGCTAACTTCATCAAGGAGAACATCATTTACCGCTTTGGCATACCTCGAGTGATACTATCAGACAATAGAACTCTTTTCGTCAATGGCAGGGTTCGAGCGCTCTTTCAACAATACCATGTCACCCATTATAGGTCAACACCCTGCTACCCCAAAGGCAACAGGCAAGCGGAGGCCACAAACAAGACTCTACTCAGAATTTTACGCAGAACCCTAAAGGAACAACATGGCAAGTGGGCAGAGCAACTGCCTCTCGCGTTTTGGGCCTATCGAACCATTGTGAGGGGGGCCACAAGCGCCATGCCTTTCTCCCTGGTTTACAACACAGAAATGGTTGTCTCTATCGAGATAGCGGTACCGTCAGGAGGCTTAGTTAAACGGAGCCAACCTCATTATGATCTCAGGCTCGGTGAGCTCGAAGGACTACAAGAACAAAGGGAGCATGCCAAAGGCAAGCTGAAGATCCACCAGCATAGGGTTGCTCGGGCTTATAACGTTACTGCCTGACCCAGAGCATTCCAAGAAGGTGACCTAGTGTTAAGAACATCGGCGCACATAATGCGAAATTAATCAGCGCCAAAGTTTACCCCGAAGTGGGATGGCCCTTTTGAGGTCAGGACCACAAGTGGCAGTGGATACTATGAGATTGGCGAGATCAATAACAACAAGACTCTGGGTTTATTCAATGCCAAATGGTTGGAGAAATACTATGTGTGACATGAAGAGGGCCACAAGCACCCTCTTCGATCTTTTGTAAAACATATATATATATATATATATATATATATATATATATATATATATATATATATATATATAAGATCCTATGTGGCCAGAGAAAGTCCATATTTCTCGAATGTTATGCTAAACGCGCGTTCCACTGTCAACAATTGCTTAAAAAAAGGGGCTCGAGGGAGTCCGTACTTCCCGTATATTATGCCAAACATGTACTCCACTTGTAATAGTGACTGAAAAGAAAAGGGCTCGAGGGAGTCCATACTTCCCCCGACACTCACATTATCAGTTTTATTTAGTGATCATCGTTTCTGGTTGAAGTTTAAACTATGCTATACTATGGTAAAAAAAAATGGCACCACAAAATAATTACACTAGCTACGGCATCACAATCAACATGTCGGCCTTTATAAATAAACTAAGGAAATTCTGCTCCATTCATAATTCAAAAGTAGTCATGTTACACGAGAATGATAAAAATAAAACACATGCACCAACTACATCTTTTTTTTTTGAAGGAAGGTTGCCTAAGTCCAGGGTCGCTGGACCAAGTAATGTGAGCTTCTGTTTAATCTCCATACCCAGTAAGGCAATGTGTTGTTCCCTCGCGTACACCTGCTCTTGCAGCTCGGCCAAATAAACTTTTTCAGCCTGAAGAACTTGTTTCTCGTCTTCCATCTGATCACGTAAATCTTTAATGTCCTCAAGCATGATCTCCTGTTTCTTGAGGCCCCTGATTTGGGCAACAACGTCGTCAGCCCATCCCATCTCGACCTGCGCTCTTTTCAAATTTGCTAGTAAAAGATCCATTGACTCGAGCTCTCTCACATTTAAACGCCTTTTCTTTGCCTCGTAAATGGTGGTCACCAGCTCAACTAGAGCCCTGTACACAAAGACCAAAAACAATGGTATAGCCCCATCAAGGTTTCCAAAGGTTTGTGTGTGCATAGCTTTCACCTAGCTCAAAATCTCTACCTCGCCCAAGGCAAGTTCGGATCCTTCCCAATGGATGACTGAAGGGGTAGCCTCCCCTCGCCCTAATGGGGCAATTGCCGACTCCTGCCTCAAACCTGTCATGGTAGCCTCTCATTCAGTTGTCCTCACTGGACAAGTAGACTCAGCCCCTATACTCTCAATCATCGCAGTAGTTTGGTTCAGGGGCGTTTCCTCCTTGCCCTTGACCTGGTCGTTGTCATTCTTTGAGCCATTTCGCCTAGAGGATTCACCCCCAGATGACCCAATAGAACTCGAACTCTCTTTCCCTCCCGAGTTGCTTTCCTCGGGAGCAGGAAGAGCTTCAATTGCCTTTTCAATCATATCTCTCAGTTCATCAAGGGGCTCATGAGGAAGTTCCTGAACCACTTCAGTCAAATTATCCTTGTCACTGCCATCGCTAGTACGATCCACAACCTCACCCCCGATTTTTCAGGCGTCGATCATTTCGGTATCTGTACGAGGCCATAATCAGAACCGCAAAAAATGTATGTGTAATAAAGCCCTAAGACAAGGTGGGTACCTTTATCTGAGGGCGAGTGGCTGGAACTCTGCTCGATTTCAATCATACCCATGGCAGGGTCTACGGCAGTATTCACCCTACCAGTTTCCTCGTCAAACCTCCCTAAGCCTCGAGCCAAAGGAATGGGGGGGTTCAGGTTAGAAGAAAGTACATCCCTCGCGGCCTGGTCAGGGTCTTCAAGTACGTTGGCGAGAGTATGAAGGGCATCTTAGGGAATATCTAAACCAGGAGTTACAGAAGTGTGGACATTGCCACTAGCACGAGTTCCCCTACCAAGGTCATCCTTGGGGGGTAAGGAACGGGACCTCGTGCCAGAAAATGCCCCAGCTCGAGCTGGTGGGCGAGGGAGCCTTTCAGGGATTGGGGCTTTAGCAACAACGGCGTCACAAGATGAGCCTTGCAAATAAGAAGAGAATGGTGTTAAGATCATTCAATAGTAAACTTAGATCAGACTATAACAAGGTGGATTACCTTGGTTTGCTTGGAGGAAGATAGAGTGGTAGTAGGCACGAAGGTGATGATATCTTAGTCAGCCTTACACTTGATGCGGTGAGACTTTGTAGCTCGAAGAGCTATAACCGGCGCATGAGTATCCGTCAACACCGAAGGACGAAGATTGGCCATATTACACGCCTTGCCTGGGCCCATTTTTATACTCACGATAGGAAGCATCACCCCTCAGCAAGGGAGGGGCATGAAAGGGCACTGGATCACTGCACACGAACCATTTAAAGGCACTAACAATCTCTTTTCAGTAAGCCCTCGTCTTCGCACCCCACCGCCCCACTCGCGAGGGAGGAGAAACGCAAAGAATACGTCGAGTCCCTATGAGTTCTGCCCCCCCATGAATCCAGGAAGTGAGTAAAGCCCAAACTGTAGTACTATGATCCTGACGAGTGCCATAACCATAGTCTAGAGTAAGCCCTTAATCCCAACCAAATTGACGAGCCACCCGGTGGGATTGTAAACCTTACCCACTCCTAAGCTTGGGGGAAGGAGAGTAGGAAGATAGCCTCCTAGGGACATGGCAAGGATGATTGAGGTAGGATTGCGTCTTAAAGCTTTAGCCGAGATAACCTCGCTATCCCTCAGAGTCCAATGATCCACGCAAGGACCTTGGGTATAGGGACGAGCTACAAAGTACTTTTCCCTATCAATGTATCCTACAAGTTTCTTTTTTGGATTATGTTTGTGCCATTGATAGGACCTCTTCAGGCCACTGTCACGAGGAAGCGCTGTGGGTCGAGAGGCATACCCTGGGAAATGCTCGTAAAGGAACATTTGTAGAAATATGGTATTGATTGGAGACAGCACGCTCATACGACTAACAGAGCGTTCCATGTGGGCATGGATGAGGTCGAGCTTGTGATAGAGGGACCCCAAAAACATTGCAGCTAGGGGGAAACTTTGACCCTGGGAAAGTTTAATGGCTAAGGAAGCAAGGTCAGGGCTGGGCCATCGTCAGGAGGACCTAGGAAAATGAAGCAAGAGAGCCAAGTTAATAAGAAACCGGTAAGGTGAAGCTGGTCTAGATACTTCGGACCATTGAAGGCCTCATCTCCCTCTAATTCCCGAGGTGGGAAATCCCAAAAATAGTAGCGTAGGAGAGAAGAAAAAGTGCACTTATTTCCTGTTTAAGGAAAGTCCTCTTAAACGCTATTCTTTTGATAGTGTGTAGCAAGCTTGGTAGCCAAGGTAACAGCACTCCGAAGCTCAGCAATACTTTTGACTTCGACCTTATAAAGGACCTAGGTGCTGGGATCATTCTCACCAAACAAGTTCAGGTACATTAGTTGTACCACATTCTCAAGGGTAGGGGTGAACTCCCCCTAAGTAGTGACAAAGGTATGAATGTCCCTACTCTACCGAGATAGCAAAAGTGCGAGGCCGGAGCAATCTTGACCAATTGACAGTTCGCGAGTGTTGCGAATGGCGTCCGTTATTCTCGAACCCTTCAAAATCTTGGCAAACTCGGTATCACTTAGGATAACATCCATCCATAGGTCCTATCCTCAACCATGACCAGTCTGGCTTGTAAAGATAAGGGTCGAGTGAGGGAAGTTGCCTCGCTCCACTCGGAGTCTTAGTATAGAATTCGGGGAAATAGGAACGCCCTCTTGCGCGTATGGTTCACCCTCAAAGAGAAATGACCCCTCTTGGACCTCGTCCACATCACTCAGTGGGTCACCACTAAGCCAAAAAGTATCACTCAAACCAAAATATGGCGTGACTCGCCACTCTGTTAGAGGAGGGACACTAGGGACGTCGTCTCGAACTGATTAGGACATGGTTTATAACTGTGAATTTAAATAAGTTTGAAGAGAATTATCTACTCAAGCAAGGGTCTGACAGGGAGAAAGTGTGTTCTATTTTACAAAATTTAGACAAGTATAGTTTGAATAGTGAGAGTATAGTTCCCGAGGTGTCATACCCCTGACATACGAAAAGATGCGACGCGGAGCTCGAAGCATCTGAACATTTAATACTCCTATAAAAAGCTAACATGTTGACCGAGGGAACCAGAGCGATATAACCATTCAATAAAAATTATTGATATTTACGAAGAGACATATTGACTTACTCGAGCTTTCCCTTCCCGCGACCTCGAGTAGGAGGGCAAAATGTTGATGGATTCGCCGCATCACCTTGTTGACAGATTCGCCGCATCACCTGCTTATATGGCATCACCTATCCCAAAAAGGCACACCTGGCTAGAATCTATCTGGCGTGTCATCGATAAAAGGGATAAGTGGCCCTGGGCTACTCGTCCCATAACTAGAAATACTGGCGAGGAAGGGGTCGTTACCCTTCACTCCTCTAAGGACGTGCCCCTCTCCATTCGGATGGGTCCCTCCTCATTCTATTATCACCACTCGAGGTTCCTTCCTGCAGATGGGACCTCAAGAGCATGTTACCTCTTTTACCTTGAGCTCCCCTCACCCTAAATTTGAGGGGACCTCGAGGACTGAAGTTTGTCCACCTCGAATTCCTGACCTGGAATCTAAGAGAAATTCGAGAACCAAGGTCTGCTAACCCTGAGCTCTTCCCACTCTGAACTCATGGAAGTCTCGGAGGCGCCATACTTTGAACTGAATCTCACGAGGTCGAGAAGGCAATTCCTTAAGGGGATCTGTTCTCTATCTTCAAACTTGGGAGTCTAAGGAAGTGTGGACAGGTGGCTGGGATTCAAGGGCTCACCTCTCGCTGGCCAACACAAAGGGGAAAGGATACCGATACCTAGGGTCAAGCTCTAGAT